CAAAAAACAACCACAAAATTTTTTATTAAAATTAATGCTATTTAATTTTGAAAGCTCGTCTATTGACCCCGATATCGATTTGCTTGCTTAACAAAAGAATTATCCATTTCATTAATTTGGATTTTCTCTCTTCATAAAATCCAAACTAAATGAAAAAAACTTTTACAAATTTAAAATAAATATGTACCTATACATATCTAATTCAAATTTTAAAAAATTATAAAAAGAAGTTAACTTATTTTAGTAAAATTATATAGAGTTAATTTTATTTAAATTTGTTGAAAAAAAATATTGTATGTGTAGCCCAGCAATTTTTATTTTTTTATTTTTGCAATGTTGTCCTTAAACGGTCATAATTTACACCCCTAGCTTAAGACTCGAAGAAAAAGAAATTCATAGCATAGCATGAAGGGTAGTTTTAAAGTATTTGAACCACTCCCCTATTCTTGATTTATTGTTGTCGCTGCTAAAAATACGATGCAAAGCCGTTGGGAGGGGGTAAACAATTCGCTGCCTCTTCGTCGAAAGATACGTCCCTATATTGTAAACGGGTACTGCGTCGCATTTGACCTCTAAGATAAAACGACCCTTCTCTATTGTTCGAGCAAAACTGTTTGCCGTGAAAGTTCCAGTGGACCCCCTATTTCTGATAAGGATCTTTAGTTGACTATTTGACCATTCCATCCGGTCACTGTATGCATTCCTTCCGACCAGTATGATCTTTCCGACGAAACAGCTTGATCTTTGCAGCTGGCACGTAATAAAATAAAAAACATTCAATGTCCGTTTCTCTTTCTCCCCGCCCAGAGGTGGGAATGATTCGCTTTTGCGCGTTCTAGGTATTTTGCGTAAACTTTCAAATAACTTAAATAAAAATTGGCTGATCTTAAAGCTAGTACTTTATCTAGTGTCCGAGCAGATTTAACAATATTTCAGTAATTTAGCAATTTCAACTGCAATTAAAGACAAAATTACAATTTCATTAGCTTGAATATCGATGTAAAACTAAAACAAATTTGTATTCTTACTTTGGAAAGATATTTAAATTCATGTGTTCCTTAACCCGCGATCACTTTCGCGCCCGGGGTGTTCTGTACACCCACAGCAACAAGAAAATCCTCCCAGATTTCTAAAAGAATATTTTAGAACCACGATTTTTTCTGTAGCTGCACATTTTAAGTCATTGAACCTTCAGGCTTGATGCTGGTGAAATGTAATGACCTTGAAAGAAGTTTATCTGGAGGGCTGAGAACTCCCGCGAGAAGTTGAAGGCATTTGTATACAGTCTGCTCTGAAAGTTTTGGAAAATGATTAAAATATTATTTTTTCTACTATCATTATCTCATCAATTATAAAAGTATATTTATTACTGGCATATGCGTTTTATACTGGTTTATGAAAAAATATATAAAATTATGTGTTTTAAAATGAAAATTTTTGTATATTTTAGTTTAAATTAATGTTAGTCTCATTTGTGTGCATTAAATTAAATTTGTATAATACAAACCACATCTTGTACTTTATAAATATGTATCATAATGACTTAATTTTATTTTTTATAATTAAATACACGTGTTAAAAGTTTGAAGTGTTCTCTACACCCGCGAGTAACTGAGTAGCAAAACAGGCGCAGTGACCATGAGTTAACCACAATTTTCTAAAAAAGGATTATTGCATATTTAAGTTGCATAACTTTGCATATTGCATTAGTTACCCTCACATTTTACTTTTCAACAGCAATTAAACAAAAGTTTATTTATAATTATAAAATATCCCAGAATGTTCTATCAAAATAATTATTTATCTTGAAATGTTACTAACTCAAAAAATTAATTTGTCAGCACAAAACTATTCACAAAAAGATTATGTTAAAAGAAAAGTGACGTTAAAAACTTTCAAACTTTGTTATTCAAACATTACAGTTATTATTTTGTGGGATATGGGTGAGAGACAAAACGGTGTGTAAAAACGGTAGTATAGTTGTTGACCTTAAAACGGACGTTTACTAAACTTAAAATATCAGAAGAATTTTTATCTTTAGTTTTGAACAAAAATAAAAAGGGTGTTCATATTCGCAAATGTTTCTAATTAAAAAATTTTTCGTTTTTAATTATTATGAACTGATGATATTTATGTTATGTATTTGTAAAAATAATGTAATTTACCTTCGTATTTAAATGATAATAATTCTTTTGCCTTGACACAAAATTTATTGACAGAAAGAACCTCAGTCAAGTGACACGAAGGACGTCACATAAGTTAACCAGTAGCAATAAAAGGGCTGATTGCATATAACAATTAAAAGACCGCCTTTCCCCTACAAATTATTATAATTTCGCAATATGTGTTTATTTAAATTTAAATATACGGTCACAGATAAAAAGTTACATTATTAACTGGTACCGCAGTTCAGAATTACGATATCAATCTATTATCAAATTCAAATTTATATTTTATTGATTCTGACCCATTCCCTTGACTCTCTTTACGGTATTATTTTTAGTTAATTGGTTATTCATGCGGAAATCAATAATTCAAAGAAAATTTTTGAGAATGGCTTTCGCAGTGTAAATACTATATTAAGCTAAAGCTTCGAACATATGAGGTACATTTCTGTGTTAGCATGAAATAGTATCCTCATATTGTACAGAAATCATGATTATAAATAAAGTAAATAAATTAGAAGTAAGTGAAAATTGCAAAACGAATTCACGATTTATACGCAGTCAATCATATTGAGAAAAATTTTTAAGGAATAAAATCACAGATCGGGAAGAACAAGAAACACGTTTTTGTTGTTTTAAACATTGTTTGCACTTATCTTTCAAGGCTGAATTTAAATATTGGTTTAATCAATTTATTCAAAAAGAAATCTACTCATTTTAAAAAGTTTAGTTTTTAACGCTTTAAAATCCGAGTAGCTTTTCATTTCCTTCTTTTATTCATTAAGAAAAATGCAATTCTTGACATTTTCTTCAATACATTCCGTGCATAAAATTTATTCTCTGGTGAAAAATTCTCTAATTGTTACTTATGCCACCTGATCGACAGTAACCGATATTAACATCATGGCAAGGGGGCTAGATTTACGCCTGTCGTTTTCCTCAGCACTTTGAGCACACCATACAGGTGACAGTACGATTTGGCTCTATTCCACCCCAATTTTGGGGTGATCAGAGAACTTCCCATCTCTCTTCCTCTTCCACCAACCTCACGAGAAGACTTGTAGCTCGACGGCTATTTAGAGTACCCCCATGCCGCAAAGGCACTCTCCATTTACAAGTATCCATGCCGTCTCCAGAGATTTGAACTCAGGCCCAACGGCACAGCAATCCAGCGCCACTAACCACTATATATTTCATATAAAATATATCATTCATGGAAAAATATTTACATAAGGTACTGGAAACATTCTAGCCTCGAGTTCGTTACCATAACCAATAATGGAGGCTAACATGTAGCCAGTATAAGGGAGTTAAGGAAAATTAAGTATTTAAAATTATAAAAATCAAATGCAATGCATATGTAAGAAACAGACGATGTAGAATTTCAAACATTTAATAAAACATAGTATTTTGTACATGTACAAGCATAAAATGAACAGTAAAGTAAATAAACAAAACTGAACATTTAAAACCTTTATACAAAATTTGTTAAATATTTTTTTATTAATTATGTTTTTTGAAAAAAAGCTTTGATAAATGAAGGTTTTATCAAGAGACCTTATTTTATCAAAAAATACTTGAATGAATAATTTTCTAAATTTAAGAATGAAGCACAAATTTGGGGCCCCCCAAAAAATGTCAAATTTAAAGATAAACACAAAGATTTTTTTTCCCTTTTTTAAATACCGAAAGGGTCCCCGGTTCAATCCCGGGGTTTTGGCGTTCTAGCATCCTCGGGATTAAATGGTCAGTATCACCGCCTGTTACGGGGAAAACCCGGGGGTTGATTCCCGCCGAGGGTAATTTTTTTTCGTATTTAAAACCCTGATCAATTTGTACTCTTACCCCGGCAAAAAAAAAATAAACTCTTTCCAGCGTGGAAATAAAACCCGTTGGGCGAGGGGTTGACTGTATCTATGATCCCCGGTTCAATCCCGGGGTTTTGGCAATTCTAATCCCCCGTATTGTAGTGGTTAGTATCCCCGCCTTTACGCGGAGACCGGGGGTTTATTCCCTGCCGGGGGGAATTTTTGTATTTAAAACCACGTACATTTAAGTACTCGTCCAAAAGGAAAAAAAAAAATAAACCTTTCCGCGTTTCCGAAATAGCTCAGTTTTGGGAAAGGGGGGCGAAGATCTAAAACCCCGGTTCAATCCCAGTTCAATCAATCCTCGGTGATATTGTGTATCCCCCCTTCCCGCGGGGGACCGGGGTTTTTATTCCCTGGGGGGAAATTTTTTTTTTTTGGTATTTTAAAAAACTGATAAATTTTTTCCTACCCAAAGGGGTAAAAATAAAAAACCTTTCCGATTTTAAAGAAAAAGCAGGGGAGGCGTTAACGAAGAAAAAATTTTTTTTAGTCCCTTCCCCGGGTTTAGCATCCCCGGAGTATAATTTTGCAAAAATTGCGGGGAGACCCGGGGTTTATTTCCCCCCCCAGGGGTTTTTTTTTGCTATTTAAAACCACTCATACATTTTTAAAATCCCTAACCCCGACAAAGAGAAAAAAAACTCTTTTCAGATGTGCCCAAATAGCTCATTTGGGAAGCGTTAGCCCCAAGATCCCAAAAAGGGCCCGGGTTTCGTCCGGGGTTTGCATTCGGATAAGTGGGCGGATCCCCCCCTGTCACGCGGGGGCCGGGTTCATTCCTCGCAGAAGAGTATTTTTTTTTTTTTCGTATTAAAACCATATACTTTTTAAATACTCCCCAAAAAGGAAAAATAAATAATAAACTTTTTTGTAGATGTGCCAAAAATAAGCTCCAGTTGGGAGAGCGTGAGACTGAAGATCTAAAGGTCCCTAGTTCAATCCCGGGTTTCGGCAGATTATAGCATCCTCAGTAGTATAGTGGTCCAGTATCACCGCCTGGAACGCGGGAGACCGGGGTTCGATTTCCCTCCTGGGGAAGTAATTTTTTTTCTTTTTGCGTAGTGAAAACCATTGATATATTTTAAGTACTCCTACTACCAGGCAAAGAAAATAATAAACTCTTTCGCAGATGTGCTGGAAATAGCTCGGATTGGGGAGAGCGTTGAACCCCTGAAGATCCTAAAAGGTCCCTGGTTCATTCCCGGGTTTCGGCAGATCCTAGCATTCTCGGTAGTATAGTGGTCAGTATCCCCGCCTGTCACGCGGGAGACCGAGGTTCGATTCCCAGGGGGTATTTTTTTTTGTGTGTGTCATTTAAAAACCACTAATACATTTTAAGTACTCGTAGCATAAGGAAAGAACATAAAAACTCTTTGGCGGACGTGCCAGAAATAGGCTCAGTTGGAGAGCGTTAGACTGAAGATCTAAAGGTCCCTGGTTCAATCCCGGCTTTCGGCGAATTCTATCCTCGGTAGTATAGTGGTCAGTATCCTTCTGTCACGCGGGGAGACCGGGGTTCGGTTGTTCACCGGGGAGTATTTTTTTTTTGTGTGTATTTAAAACCACTAATACATTTAAGTGCACTCGTAGCATAAGGGAAGAAAATAAAACTCTTTTTGCAAACGTGCCGAAATAGCTGAGTTGGAGAGCGTTGGAGCTGAAGATCTAAAAGGTCCCTTGTTCAATCTCGGATTTCGGTGGATTCTAGCATCCTCGGTAGTATAGTGGTCAGTATCCCCGCCTGGAACGCGGGGAGACCGGGGTTCATTTCCTCCTGAGGGGTAATTTTTTTTCTTTTGCGTATTGAAAACCATTGATATATTTTAAGTACTCCTATTACCAGGCAAAGAAAATAATAAACTCTTTCGCAGATGTGCTGAAATACTTCAGTTGGGAGAGCGTTAGACTGAAGATCTAAAGGTCCCTGGTTCAATCCCGGGTTTCGGCAGATTCTAGCATCCTCGGTAGTATAGTGGTCAGTATCCCCGCCTGTCACGCGGGAGACCGGGTTCGATTCCCCGGAGGAAGTATTTTTGTGTATTTAAAACCACTAATACATTTTAAGTACTCGTAGCATAAAGGAAAGAAAATAAAAACCCTTTTGCAGACGCGTGCCGAAATAGCTCAGTTGGGAGAGCGTTAGACTGAAGATCTAAAGGTCCCTGAAAAAGGGTTCAATCCGGGTTTCGGCAGATTCTAGCATCCTCGGTAGTATAGTGGTCAGTATCCCGCCTATGGGGAGACCGGGGTTCGATTCCCCCACCGGGGAGTATTTTTTTTTTTTTTGTGTATTTAAAACCACTAATACATTTTAAGTACTCGTAGCATAAGGAATGAAAATAAAAACTCTTTGGCAGACGTGCCGAAATAGCTCAGTTGGGAGAGAGCGTTAGACTGAAGATCCTAAAGGTCCCCTAGTTCAATCCCGGGTTCGGCAGATTCCTGCATCCTCGGTAGTATAGTGGTTAGTATCCCCGCCTGTCACGCAGGAGACCAGGTTCGATTCCCCGCCGGGGAGTATTTTTTGTGTGTATTTAAAACCACTAGCCATTTTAAGTACTCGTAGCATAAGGAAGAAAATAAAAACTCTTTTGCAGACGTGCCGAAATAGCTCAGTTGGGGAGAGCGTTAGACTGAAGATCTAAAGGTCCCTATTGGTTCAATCCGGGTTTCGGCAGATTCTAGCATCCTCGGTAGTATAGTGGTCGGCTGATATCCTGCCTGTCACGCGGGGAGACCGGAGTTCGATTCCCCGCCGGGGAGTATTTTTTGTGTATTTAAAACCACTAATACATTTTAAGTACTCGTAGCATAAGGGAAAATAAAAACTGCTTTGCAGACGTGCCAGAAAATAGCTCAGTTGGGGAGAGCGTTAGACTGAATCTAAGGTCCCTGGTTCAATCCGGGTTTCGGCAGATTCTAGATTCCTCGGTATTATAGGTTCGGTATCCCCGCCTGTCACGCGGGAGACCGGAGTTCGATTCCCCGGTATTTTTTTTTTGTGTATTTAAAACCACTAATATATTTTTAAGTACTCGTAGCATAAGGCAAAGAAAATAAAAACTCTTTTGCAGACGTGCCGAAATAAGAAAAGCTCAGTTGGGAGAGCGTTAGACTGAAGATCTAAAGGTACCTGGTTCAATCGGGTTTTCGGCAATTCTAGCATCCTCCCGGTAGTATAGTGGTCTGTATCCCCGCCTGTCACGCGGGAGACCGGGGTTCGATTCCCCGCCGAGGAGAATTTTTATTTTTATTATTATTATTTAAAACCACTAATACCATTTTAAGTACTCGTAGCATAAAGAAGGGAAAGAAAATAAAACTCTTTTGCAGACGTGCCGAAATAGCTCAGTTGGGGAGGAAGAGCGTTAGACTGAAGATCTAAGGTCCCTGGTTCAATCGGGTTTTCGGCTTGAATTCTAGCATCCTCGGTAGTATAGTGGCCCGCCTGTCACGCGGGAGACCGGGGTTCGATTCCCCGCCGGGAGTATTTTTTTTTTTTTGTGTATTTAAAACCACTAATACATTTTAAGTACTCGTAGCATAAAGGGAAGAAAATAAAAACTCTCTTTTACCCGAACGTGCCGAAATAGCTCAGTTGGGAGAGCGTTAGACTGAAGATCTAAAAGGTCCCTGGTTCAATCGGGTTTCGGCAGATTCTAGCATCCTCCGGTAGTATAGTGGTCAGTATCCCCGCCTGTCACGCGGGAGACCGGGGGTTCGATTCCCCACCGGGGAGGTATTTTTTTTTTGTGTATTTAAAACCACTAATACATTTAAGTACTCGTAGCATAAAGGGAATGAAATAAAAACTCTTGGCAGACGTGCCGAAATAAGCTCAGTTGGAGAGCGTTAGACTGAAGATCTAAAGGTCCCTGGTTCAATCAGTTTCGGCAATTCTAGCATCCTCGGTAGTATAGTGGTTAGTATCCCCGCCTGTCACGCGGGAGACCAGGAGTTCGATTTTCGGGGAGGTATTTTTTGTGTATTTAAAACCACTAATACATTTTAGTACTCGTATAAAGGGAAAGAAAATAAAAACTCTTTGCAGACGTGCCAGAAATAGCTCAGTTGGGAGAGCGTTAGACTGAAGATCCTAAAGGTCCATTGTTCAATCCCGGGTTTCGGCAGATTCTAGCATCCTCGGTAGTATAGTGGTCAGTATCACCTTACTTGCCTGTCACGCGGGAGACCGGAGTTCGATTCCCCGCCGGGGGTATTTTTTTGAGTGCCAAAACCACTGATATATTTAAGTACACGTACCACCAGGCGATAAAAAAATTCTTTCGCAGACGTGCCGAAATAGCGCAGTTGGGAGAGCGTTAGACTGAAGATCAAGGTCCCTTGTTCAGTCAGGTTCGGCAGGTTCTATCCTCGGTAGGTATAATTGTGTCAATTTCCCCGGCTATCACGCGGGGAGACCGGGGTTCGATTCCCCGCCGGGGGTAGTTTTTGCGTATTTAAAACCACTCGCCCACATTTTAAGAGTACTCTAACACACCAGACAAAGAGAATAAAAAACTCTTTCGCAGATGTGCCCAAATAGCTCATTTGGGAGAGCGTTAGCCTGAAGATCTAAAGGTCCCGGGTTTCGTCAGGTTCTAGCATCCTCGGCATTGTAATTGGTCCATTATCCCGCCTGTCACGCGCGGGGAGACCGGGGTTCGATTCCTCGCAGAAGAGTATTTTTTTTTGCGTATTAAAACCACTGATACATTTTAAGTACTCCTACAATCAGGCAAAGTAAATAATAAACTTTTTCGTAGATGTGCCGAAATAGCTCAGTTGGGAGAGCGTGAGACTGAAGATCTAAAGGTCCCTGGTTCAATCCCGGGTTTCGGCAGATTATAGCATCCTCGAGTAGTATGGTGGTCAGTATCACCGCCTGTCGCACTTAGCGGAAGACCGGGGTTCGATTCCCGCCAGCGAATAATTTTTTTTTCTTTTTGCGTATTGAAAACCATTGATATATTTTAAGTACTCCTACCACCAGGCAAAGAAAAAATAAATTCTTTCGCAGATGTGCCGAAATAGCTCATTTGGGAGAGCGTTAGCCTGAAGATCTAAAGGTCCCGGGTTTCGTCAGGTTCTAGCATCCTCGGTAGTATAGTGGTCAGTATCCCCGCCTGTCACGCGGGAGACCGGGGTTCGATTTCTCGCAGAAGAGTATTTTTTTTTTTGCGTATTAAAAACCACTGATACATTTTAAGTACTCCTACAATCAGGCAAAGTAAATAATAAACTTTTTCGTAGATGTGCCGAAATAGCTGAGTTGGGAGAGCGTTAGACTGAAGATCTAAAGGTCCCTGGTTCAATCTCGGATTTCGGTGGATTCTAGCATCCTCGGTAGTATAGTGGTCAGTATCCCCGCCTGGAACGCGGGAGACCGGGGTTCGATTTCCTCCTGGGGAGTAATTTTTTTTTTTTCTCTTTTTGCGTATTGAAAACCATTGATATATTTTAAGTACTCCTACTACCAGGCAAAGAAAATAATAAACTCTTTCGCAGATGGCCACGAAATAGCTCAGTTGGGAGAACGTTAGACTGAAGATCTAAAGGTCCCTGGTTCATTCGGGTTTCGGCAGATCCCTAGCATTCTCCCCGACCAGTATAGTGGTCGGTATCCCCGCCTGTCACGCGGAGACCGGGGAGTTCGATTCCCGCCGGGGTATTTTTTTTTTTTTTTTTTTGTGTGTGTATTTAAAACCACTAATACATTTTAAGTACTCGTAGCATAAGGAAGAACATAAAACTCTTTGGCGGACGTGCCGAAATAGCTCAGTTGGGAGGCGTAAGACTGAAGATCTCTAAAGGTCCCTGGTTCAATCCGGCTTTCGGCAGATTCATCGCTCGGTAGTATAGTGGTCAGTATCCTTCTGTCACGCGGGAGACCGGGGTTCGATTCCCCGCCGGGGAGTATTTTTTTTTTTTTGTGTGTATTTAAAACCACTAATACATTTTAAGTACTCGTAGCATAAGGGAAAGAAAATAAAAAACTCTTTTACAGACGTGCCGAAATATGGCTGAGTTGGGAGAGCGTTAGACTGAAGATCTAAAAGGTCCCTTGTTCAATCTCAGTTCGGTGGATTCTAGCATCCTCGGTAGTATAGTGGTCGAAGTATCCCCGCCTGGAACGCGGGAGACCGGGGATTCGATTTTCCTCCTGTAGGGGTAATTTTTTTTTCTTTTTTGCGTATTGAAAACCATTGATGCTTATATTTTAAGTACTCTATTACCACCAGGCAAAGAAATATGTAAACTCTTTCGCAGATATGCTGAATTACTTCGGATTGGGAGAGCGTTAGACTGAAGATCTAAAGGTCCTGGTTCAATCTCGGGTTTCGGCAGATTCTAGCATCCTCCGGTAGTATAATTGGTCCAGTATCCCCGCCTGTCACGCGGGAGACCGGGGTTGTTCGATTCCCCGGAGGTATTTTTGTGTATTTAAAACCACTAATACATTTTAAGAGGTACTCGTAGCATAAAGGGAAGAAAATAAAAAACTCTTTTGCAGACACGTGCCGAAATAGCTCAGTTGGGAGAGCGTTAGACTGAAGATCTAAAGGTCCCTGGTTCAATCCGGGTTTCGGCAATTCACAGCATCCTCAGTAGTATATAGTGGTCAGTATCCCGCATCACGCGGGGAGACCGAGGTTCGATTCCCCACCGGGGAGTATTTTTTGTGTATTTAAAACCACTAATACATTTTACTAATTACTTTCGTAGCATAAGGAATGAAAATAAAAACTCTTTGGCAGACGTGCCGAAATAGCTCCAGTTTAGAGAGCGTTAGACTGAGAAGATCTAAAAGGTCCCTAGTTCAATCCCGGGTTTCGGCAGATTCTAGCATCCTCGGTAGTATAGTGGTTAGTATCCCCGCCTGTCACGCGGGAGACCGGGAGTTCGATTCCCCGCGGGGGTATTTTTTGTGTATTTAAAACCACTAATACATTTAAGTACTCGTAGCATAAAGGAAAGTAAATAAAAACTCTTTTGCAGACGATGCCGAAATAGCTCAGTTGGAGAGCGTTAGACTAGCGAAGATCTAAAGGTCCCTGAGTTAATCCGTGTTTCGGCAGATTCTAGCATGATCGGTAGTATAGTGAAGTCAGTATCACGCCTGTCGCGCGGAGACCGGGTTCGATTCCCCGCCGGGGGTATTTTTTTTTTTTTGTGTATTTAAACCACTAATACATTTTAAGTACTTTCGTAGCATAAAGGGAAAGTAAATAAAAACTCTTTTGCAGACGTGCCGAAATAGCTCAGTTGGAGAGTGTTAGACTGAAGATCTAAAGGTCCCTGGTTCAATCCGTGTTTCGGCAGATTCTAGCATGATCGGTAGTATGAAAGGTAGTCCGAGTAATCCCGCCTGTCACGCGAGACCGGGGTTCGATTCCCCGCCGGGGAGTATTTTTTTGTGTATTTAAAACCACTAATACATTTTAAGTACTCGTAGCATAAGAAATAAAAATAAAAACTCTTTTGCAGACGTGCCGAAATAGCTTCCAGTTGGGAGAGCGTTAGACTGAAGATCTAAAAGGTCCCTGGTTCAATCGAGTTTCGGCATATTTTAGCATCCTCGTTAGTATAGTGGTCAGTATCCCGCCTGTCACGCGGGAGACCGGGGAGTTCGATCCCCGCCAGGGGAGTGACCCATTTTTTTTTTTGTGTATTTAAAACCACTAATACATTTTAAGTACTCGTAGCATAAAGGAAGAAAATAAAAAACTCTTTTGCAGACGTGCCGAAATAGCTCGGTGGGAGAGCGTTAGACTGAAGATCTAAAGGTCCTGGTTCAATCCGTGTTTCGGCGGATTCTGGCATCCTCGGTAGTATAGTGGTCCGATATCCCCGCCTGTCACGCGGGAACCGGGGTTCGATTCCCCGCCGGGGAGGTACTTTTTTTTTTTTGTGTATTTAAAACCACTAATACATTTTAAGTACTCGTAGCATAAGGGAAAGAAAATAAAAACTTTCTTTGCAGACGTGCCGAAATAGCTCAAATGGGAGAGCGTTAGACTGAAGAACTAAAGGTCCCTGGTTCAATCGGGTTTCGGCAGTTTCTAAATCCTCGGTAGTATAATTGGTCAGTATTTCCGCCTGTCACGCACTTGGGGAGACCGGGGTTCGATTCCCCGCAGGGGAAGGTATTTTTTTTTTTTGTGTATTTAAAACCACTAATATACATTTTAAGTACTCGTAGCATAAGGAAAGAAAATAAAAACTCTTTTGCAGACGTGCCGAAATAGCTCAGTTGGGAGAGCGTTAGACTGAAGATCTAAAGGTCCCTGGTTCAATCCCGGGTTTCGGCAGATTCTAGCATCCTCGGTAGTATAGTGGTCAGTATCCCCGCCTGTCACGCGGGAGACCGGGGTTCGATTCCCCGCCGGGGAGTATTTTTTTTTTTTTTTTTTGTGTATTTAAAACCACTAATACATTTTAAGTACTCGTAGCATAAGGGAAAGAAAATAAAAAACTCTTTTGCAGACGTGCCGAAATAGCTCAGTTGGGAGAGCGTTAGACTGAAGATCTAAAGGTCCCTGGTTCAATCCCGTGTTTCGGCAGATTCTAGCATCCTCGGTAGTATAGTGGTCAGTATCCACGCGGGAGACCGGGGTTCGATTCCCCGCCGGGGTGTATTTTTTTTTTTTTTTGTGTGTATTTAAAACCACTAATACATTTTAAGTACTCGTAGCACCATGGAAAAAAAATAAAAACTCTTTACGGAGCGATGCCAGAAATAGCTCAGTTGGGAGAGCGTTAGACTGAAGATCTAAAGGTCCCTGGTTCAATCGGGTTTCGGCAGATTCTAGCAGCATCCTCGGTATTGGTATAGTGAGGTAGTATCCCCGCCTGTCGCGCGGAGACCGAGTTCCCCGCCAGGGAGTATTTTTTTTGTGTGTGTGTTTAAAACCACTAATAATACATTTTAAGTACTCGTAGCATAAGGAAGAAAATAAAACTCTTTTTACTGAACGATGCCGAAATAGCTCAGTTGGCAGAGCGTTGGGCCGCTGAAGATCTGAAGGTACCTGGTTCAATCAGGTTTCGGCAGATCCTAGCATCCTCAGTAATTATAGTGGTCAGTATCCCCGCCTGTCACGCGGGAGACCGGGGTCGATTTTTCCGCCGGGGAGTATTTTTGTTTTTTTTTGTGTATTTAAAAACCACTAATACATTTTAAGTACTCGTAGCATAAAGGAAGAAAAATAAAAAACTCTTTGCAGACGTGCCGAAACCAAGCTCTGTTGGGAGAGCGTTAGACGAAGATCTAAGGTCCTGGTTCAATCGGGTTTCGGCAGATTCTAGCATCCTCGGTAGTATAGTGGTCAGTATCCCCGCCTGTCACGCGGGAGACCGGGGTTCGATTCCCCGCCGGGTAGTATTTTTTTTTTTTTTTTTATTGTATTTAAAACCACTAATACATTTTAAGTACTTGTAGCATAAAAAGGGAAAAGAAAAATAAAAACTCTTTTGCAGACGATGCCGAAATAGCTCAGTTGGGAAAGCGTTAGACTGAAGATATAAAGGTCCCTGGTTCAATCCGTGTTTCGGCAGAACCTAGCATCCTCCCGGTAGTATAATTAGTCCCTTTCAGTATCCCCGCCTGTCACGCGGGAGACCGGGTTCGATTCCCCGCCGGGGAGTATTTTTTTTTTTTTTTTTTTTTGTGTGTATTTAAAACCACTAATACATTTTAAGTACTCGTAGCATAAGGGAAAGAAAATAAAAAACTCTTTTGCAGGCATGCCGAAATAGCTCAGTTGGGAGAGCGTTAGACTGAAGATCTAAAGGTCCCTGGTTCAATCGGGTTTCGGCAGATCCTATCCTCGGTAGTATAGTGGTCAGTATCCCCGCCTGTCACGCGGGAGACCGGGGTTCGATTCCCCCGCTGGGGAGTATTTTTTTTGTGTATTTAAAACCACTAATACATTTTAAGTACTCGTAGCATAAGGGAAGAAAATAAAAACTCTTTTGCAGACGTGCCGATATAGCTCAGTTGTGAGCGTTAGACTGAAGATCCCTAAGGTCCCTGGTTCAATCCGGGTTTCGGCAGATTCACAGCATCCTCGGTATAGTGGTCAGTATCCGCCTGTCACGCGCGGGAGACCGAGTTCGATCCCCGCCGGGGAGTATTTTTTGTGTATTTAAAACCACTAATACATTTTAAGTACTCGTAGCATAAGAAAGAAAATAAAAACTCTTTTGCAGACGTGCCAGAAATAGCTCAGTTGGGAGAGCGTTAGACCCCTGAAGAACTAAAGGTCCCTGGTTCAATCGGGTTTCGGCAGTTTTCCTGGCATCCTCGGTAGTATAGTGGTCCGGTATTTCCGCCTGTCACGCGGGAGACCGGGGTTCGATTCCCCGCAGGGGAGTATTTTGTGTATTTAAAACCACTAATACATTTAAGTACTCGTAGCATAAGGGGAAGAAAATAAAAACTCTTTGCAGACGTGCAG